CCCAAGGCCTCCTCGAGGTGTTCCATCAACGTTGGCAACGTCGCTTCCAGCATCGTCATTCATCAAGTCCTGATATGAGAACGGCAGGCCACGCGCGATTTCGATGGTCGTCTCGAATGCCTCATTTAGATGAAAATCGTCAGAGTTTCAGACGTGTACGCTAAATACCTTCAGTCGAAGGCGGCTTCTTTCCCATTTGCGCCTCCATAGCATAGCGTGCGTGTCGTGTAATTACGGAGGTTGTTTCGAAATATCTCCCACCCTGCTTCTAGCAAGAAACAGCCGGGTAACATGTTGGATACCCCTAAGAGCCGCCGTTGAAATTGCTTGACGAGATGTTCGCGGCATCATTGACAAATAAGCCCTAGGAAGAAGGCGACAAAATTTTCTGGAGGCGCAAGAAAGACTGACGCATTCACGAGGGTGGGATTGGTCACTGTCACGTGCGACAAAACGCGTTTCCTATGACCTCAAATACACCATTGGACGCACGTCGCGAGTCATCGCGGAACTCACTCTATCCCCATTCGGTTCTGAACGCTGTTCCAAGGGCTGTTCGCTGATTATTTCACACACTAGTCTACATCTACCCCACGCAGCAACATTGTGTATTTCTAGGCTGTTGTTCCCTAGCGGGGAGGTTCAACGCCTAGTAAAATTCAGTTCCCATTTCCACGCCACACACGACCTGCGACAACTTTGTCCTTAGCTGTTGTTGTACACAGGGTGTTCATGAAACCGGGGTGGTACAATAACACCCCTCTCCCTTCGTATTACTATCTCGAATCCTCAGCTCTCGAGGGCATTCCCCATCGCACGGGAGTTTTCCTCGTCCTTCACGGTAACTCAGACAACAATATCACCTCCCCCGGAGCAGAAACGACAATCGTGGTACGATGAAGGTGCGGCTAGGAACAATCAAGGCAAACCATATCGACTAGCAAGAAGCTCAACTTGGCGAATGATGGCACCGCCAACTTTGACGACACTGGTGGGGGTGGAAGTCGTGAGTCGATATCGTACTGATGCGATCTCTCCCTCTTGTGCAAGCGTTCACGTAGTGTCATTGGACATGGGCGGGTGCTGGAGTCACCGAGCCGAACTGGTATAAGGTGAAGCAGTCGGTACCTGCATTATCGAAGCGTCCACCCCTTTGTCGAAGATTTGCGCCCTCCGTGATGGCTTGTTGCAGAACACGGATTCCGCCACGCGTTCAGTGCTACATGGCCCGGACATGCCGCTGGCGCGATCGGGATCACGGAAGCTATTACCAAACTGCATCGGTCGGCCACGATCAATTCGTTCCGTAGCACCATCCATCGAACGTTCAGCGTGTATTTCGCAGAGGCATGGAGGGAACAGACACAAGTTCGGGTCAGATAGCGGGAAATCCGATACGTTAAATGATGTTCCAAGAAAGTGACTGGAGAACGGATAATCACGTCCTAGTGTGGCTCTAGAAGCCATTTGGGTTTCTCAATCATTCAGTTGGTATTGCTTCGATGAGCCTATTTCTATCTCCTTTGTAATCTTCCAGTCTCTCGGTTGCTACATGATCCAACGATTGTGCTTTTGTCAGAGATAGGCTAACCTCGAACTTCTCGCATCTAGCTGGGCGTTTTGGGGCTTGTCGGTACACATCTCATGCCAGCATTTTAGTTCTAGAGCAACATGTTTATCCAGACTGCAGCATGACAAGTATGGATGCATATTTTCCGTCTCGAACTTTCTCACCGATGTCGTATACCCCGCGGAGTCGGCTGCTTCCCGACCCCTTGCTGCCTTCTCTTTGTCCTTTGACCCCGAGACCGTCGACCGCCGTAAGTTTCCTTTCCCCTCCACAAACCCGGGGAAGAGTTCTTCCGAGTCCTCATCTGAGCTTGGTCTTCGTGGTGCATCCACATGACCGCCGTATCTTGCTGCTGGGCCTTGGGTGATACGTGATTGGTTTCGGTCACCACAACCGGTTGCATCTCTGTCGACAGTCTCGTCTCTGGTGTACAGCGCAAATCCGTGAGCAACGGCTTAGAGTTAGACGACCGGTCTGTTCTGCGCTTCGTGTCGTTGCGGCATGTTGTTTCTTTGGTTAAGTTGACTCTCAGAGCCGACCACCAAGCTACTGCACCACGAGCACCAACAATGGTAGGCCCTTGGTGGAAGGGTGACTGGCTAGTTGGTAGACAGATCGGACTGGGTACCTTCATTCATACCGCTGGATCATTTTTCTCTCGAGTTCAAAGAGTGATGTCATGTATCATGAATTCAGCAAGCATGTCGTTCAATTCGTCCTGTAGTTTCTGAAATCATGTTGGTCGAATCTAGCTGATAGATTGGATCTGCACCTAAAATATTAAACGGTGGGCACGGATACACGCTCAAGTGACCTGTTCCCTTCGTTGAACGAATGAATCACAAGCATACCTTTCCCAAAGTATTGAGCTGTTGAAAAATGATGGGTGTCCCTCTACTGGCCAAACGGCTACCGTGCAAAACGAATGATCCTGATTGAGTCTGACCTGTGTCCGCTGCTGCGATTTCAAAAGTAGCTCAAAGGTATCACATGCTGTCGACACGTGTTTCATGTTGTATTTCTCGTCTCGTTCCATTGTTGAAGAGTAAATCGTTCACCGCACATTGTTTGAACCTATCCTGACACACAGATTGGTCATACGCCGTAAACTGCAAATATCCCTCAACGGTACTGTAATTGTGCGTCTCTGTCTCCGAGAGCATCCCCAGCTCCAAGTCCTGTACTAGAGTATTGCGGCGGTAAGGCTACAGCACCCTACACGTTCCTCTGAAATGTTGACTATTGGCACATCCACAACAGTTTCTGTTGCTCCCTCACCGTTCCCCTGCAATACCGCGAAACCCCTTGGGCATGGGCGTTATATTGGTGTCAGCAACTGGGCGCTTGAAGAACCGGGTCGTTTCCCCAACCGTCAACCTCCGGGGATTGTCGCCAGCTTCCTTCTTCGCCGCTTCGTTGTCCTTTGCTTTGGCGGCTAGTTCGCTAAATATCTCGTTGTAGCTTGGGTTTATGGAGTGCAGGTGGGAGTTGGAAGACACAAGGTCGGGAATCGATTAGCAAGGGGACGACGGGGGTACCAACAATGCCGAGTGTTCTTCGCCAGCTGATGAACAGGGAGCAAGGAAATTCCGTGTGACCTTAAGGGGTAGCAGCAGAAGAATGACGCTCGCTGCCATCGGTTTCGACGCTTGCTGACGGTCGTTTTCGTGAGAAAGCCAAAACGGCAGGGGCATCGCATCGCCACGGGTCATGTCAAGTGTTTGCAAGGGATGTCCCAAGGTATTTTGCTGTTCTGGCGCTCCTCAACATCTCAACCGTCACACCTCTTGCCCGCGTTTCTCTTCTTATGAACCTCATCCTGCAGCGCGGTAAACGTATTTTGACGTTGGCTGCGCTCGTCCAACTCGAGCCCATCCTCGCCCGCACTGTCAGCAGCAGGCTCGTCTTTTTCGCGGTCTTGGTATGTGCTGTGCTTCTTGGCTGTTAGGGGTGGTTCTGAGATAGTCCGTTCACCCTTCTGTTCCATTCGTGAGGAAGCTTCAAACCTGCTTTCATCGACGACCAATCTGGGCTTGCCCAGGCATAAAATTCGTCAGTAAATCGGTTGACTGTGGTCACCAACTACCATATAGCGCGGAGTCTTAGGTTCGAGAGAACAGCCCTTTGCTGCATTACATGTATATCTCCCGGACAGAACTTCACTGGCGTTGGTACAGTAGATGTAGAGTACGTTGTGATGGCACCTTTTAGGTGTTAGACCTACATAACTCTGCACGCGGAGACAGCATTTTGGTTTGGCACCGATGAGGTACGTACGCCGTGCCATCTGGGCTGGTTCATACCATTGTGTTGTCGTGACGTCGTGACGTCGTGGCACGTTCTATCTGCCTCTCGACAGCGGGCGGCTGTACGTTGTACGTCATACTCTACAGTACAGTGTCGTCTAGAGACGATGTAGACTACTCTAGGTCATCTTGCATGTACTTCACGATTGATTTGTGATACAAAAGATAGACAAATGCTGCTCGTGACGCGAGCAACATGCACCTCGTGGACACGGTTAGTACATTTCTTCGCGGGGATGGCTCACCACTGCTGACGCTTACTGTACCCATGTGCAAGGTCGTGTTTATGTGCCAAGTTTGATCTGGCCCGCTCGAACTGCATCTACATCACTGCAAGGACACGCCGCAGCCGGCCTTGGCAGACCATGGCGACCTCATCGTGAACGTGTGGGCGGGACGAAGAAACTGCAAGTGCCGACCTGTACTTGGTCGGAAGTAGTTTTACCTGCGCAAAGTACGGCTTTGTTTCTCGTGGAGAAACAACAACCTCCACTACCTACAGCGCAGATTGGTGCCCAAGTTCACTACTTCTACCAATGGTAATAGTGATGAACAGGTACCGCCTCTTTCCAGACGCAACTGCGCTGCGAATGTCAGGTGACCAAACTACATACTTCCAGTACAGCTGATCTACTGCTGCCGAGCAAGCTCAGCACTTGCCTTCTTCTCCAATCAGTATTTTCACGACCCCAGTCTTGAAGCGGAAAGTTAGATGCAGTCGCCCGCCGTGAGCTGACTGCCCCTCCCATGTCTTCGGTGGTGTACTTGCCGAACTCCTCGTCACCGACCAACATGCAAGGTGTGTCAACCTGGAGCGGTTCAAGATCTGCGAACAGGAATCATCCCTTGCCTTTTCTACGTGCTCTTTCGCTTAGCTACATCTAAGAATGGGTCCACCCACTCATAGTTGCCACGCCACACCCATGACAGGGTTATCGCGCAAGGACAGCATCAAAGCGAGATCGGGACGTCGACGAGTTCACCCAACAGCGAGTAATATCGACCGTTTCTTTTTTTTTTGCTGCGCCCCCGGCACACACCTGCCTACAACTCGTTTTTCCCAGTCGCCGCGCCGCTCTACGCCGAGCCCACCGAGCACGGGTGTGGAACAGGAAGTCAGGGCACATTTATCTCTACCCCCTTAAGGATTTGGGACCATGGACACTCTGACACAGCGAGAGGCAAGTCAATCTGTTTTGTTAGACATACCGTTGGATCCTGCATTCAGTTATTGGCCTTTGAGCAGAAGGAGATTTGGCTATATATTTTTTTGTTTTGATTTTGTTTTTCTCCCATGATGGATTCTGTCGACTGCCCCTCTGCACCCTATCCTCCACTTCTACTAGTTAGACGACCCAACCGGAGTCACACAGGAGGGGGAACCCCCTCCTGCGGTTCCTGTCTGAGATATTTTTGTCGCGAGAAGCGTATAGCAATCCCTTCCCTCGCGACTTATGATGTCGATCAAGTTTACTAACAACGCGCTTTGCAGCGCATCGCTTCCAACGGAGACCAGGATTGAATTAGCGAGAAAAAGCTCGCTCTGTCGGGACTCGAACCCATGACCTGGCCCTTAGCAGGCGGCGAGGTATATATCACCCTGGTGTGTACAGTTCCCTGGTACGGTAGAGGCTGCTATGACAGAAGTAGCAGTTGTTGCCTGCAGGACGGCGTCAGGTGCGCGTGTCTGAATGAGAGAGGGACAAGCATGAGGGGGACAAGCGAACCATTGTGCTTCTACTCATTGCTACTTTATTGCTGGGTGCATGTGGTCTTGATTCCAGTTGATCCAAACTCCGTTGCCCCGTATGGGCCAATGTTAGTCTTTGCTCGCTACCTACAAGGTGATCTTTTCTATGTACTTCCAGCAGTAGCATGCATACATCGCCCATACATTGTAGCGGAAGAGGTTCTCGGGCTCCCTGTTGGAGCTGCTGTGTATTCCTATCCATGCTTAAGTTGTGTTGAATATGTTGTGATCTGCTCAGCACCTTCTACGATATGCAACATCAATTGACGCGACACCTTCGTGGTCGCAGGCAAACGTTGTACAGTACAGACTAGAACGATAAATACAAGGACCCAGAACCTAGACACAACCAAGGCCGTTCACTACCATGGCATATTACTGCTGGAGAACGGGAAAATATGTAGTAACACACACCTAGAGTAGAGAAGCAACTTCCCTGAATTCGGCCCAGAAAGTCAGACGTGAAGGCAGTATGTCTGGCCAAGGGTCAACATAGTAGCAGCCATGGGTATTTACTGTCCCATGCAGATTTACCCCCCCAGATCGCCCCGTCTGGAAGAAACAGTCGAATTAATCCAGCCCGGTCTGTTGCTCATGTTCCCCAGGCGACACAGCTTCGGCTAAATGCAGAGCTAGATGCCGGCGCTCGTGCAGCCATATCCGACATGGAGACCTACTTGTGCGCCCCCCCTGCACGCCCGCCCACCACCAAGAGGCCTAGTGGCGGCAAGGTCAACGACGATGTCGACAAAAACGATCATCTCAAATGTCATACCGATGGACATGCTGGCGGCCTTACTGCGAACGGTAGCACCGCAAGTAATGTAGTACGGATCGCCAATGGGGCGAACAACAACAGCACCAATGGCAACACAAGAGGGGCACCGTTTACGGCAGACAGCAAGAGAACATCGCCCATCCAACCTGGTCTAAAGGTCGTACCTCACTCGATGATGTCGGGAGTTGAGGGAGTTGAGGGAGGAAACGGAACAAGTTTAGCAAAATCGCAACCTGGTCCTGCGGCACGATCTGCGATGGCAGTTTCGAGAACCCGAGGCGGTGGGGTGTGGGACACCGATACCAACGATACCAACAACTTCAGTTTCAACATCGACCACGAAGATGATAGTGGTCAGCATGGAGGAAGGAAAGAACACGGGCTCGTCGCGATGGCCAGAGGCGACGCTGCGACGGCGGAATCGCCGCTTTTCCGGCTGTCAGAGAGAGTGAAGGGGGCGGCAAGGGCGTCAGGAGAGCGCAGGATGCTCAAGAAAGCTGCTAGCGGCTGCAACCTCTCCCCTCGCCCGGGAGACTACGCCAACAGGCACAGCGGCTCCTCAGTAAGTCTGAAACTCGAGACGTCGATGGAGCGACCTACAACGTCGAAATATACACCTGTATCGCTTGGGCGTGGCAAGAGGCGTCGTTGTGGATTTGATGGTAGTTGGTGCGTCGTCATGGTCATTTCTTTATCATCATTACGGTCTACGGTTTCTCTGCTGCGAATCAACTGGGCTAGGACCAATGATACGCTGGCTCTGGGCTTTGCAGGACGATAGACCTCCGGCAGGCCTAAGTCGATAGGGAAGGTCTGTGCGGGATGAGGTTTGTCATGCTTCGTCAAGCACACTCCTACGCTTCGTAGGACGTACGTCTGCGTTGGTTTGTAGACGAACTAAGAACCACCGCAAGATGATCACCTTGTGTGTGGCATTGCACGAGCAAAAGGCAACACCACCACGACACCCCTAGCCCAGACGTTTGCTGTGACAGTAGCTGGTTAGTGTTAACCGGCGAACAAAATTTGAATCACCGCGACCCCCAGGAACCAAGACATGAAGGAGGAATTCCCTTGCGATCTCAGCAGCAACAGCAACAGGTTGCAAGACCGTCCGGGGTGGGACCGGGCTCGTCACGGGGAGGAGGACGAGGGCAGCAGAACGCAGACTCAAATGGAGGCGAGACCAGCAGGGGCGGAGCTGCCCAGGGTGCCCAAAACCATACCGGAGGCGGCGTTCCGGCGGGAATAGGGGAAGAAGCTACCTCAAGGTCATGTGTGCCAGCACACTTGGTTTGTCGGTCAGCGACTCTAAAAGCGACCATCCATTACGCGTGCGTTTCCCGCCCGCAAGCTGCCATGTAGTCCCAACCCCTGTCTCTATTCTTGGCCGAGTCCAGTGTTGAAACAACGCATGACGGCAATCAAGAAGCCATCAATCACACCTGTGAACCGACACATTTTGCCGCTTCTCGTTCGATTCAAGGTTCTTGAAAGCGAAACTGGCGGCATGCCAAGCACAGCTGAAGGAGGTGCTGCAGGCGCATCAGGCTAGCCAGCAGGAGACTGCGGAACTAAGGAGACAGGTAGACTTATGTTGCTGCTGTCTTTGCTGCTGCTATCTCTGCTGCTGCTATCTCTCCTGCTGCTGCTGCTGCTGCTGCCGCTGCTGCTGCTGTGTCGGTTGTTGCTGTCGTTATTGTTCTGTTGGTGATAGTATCGGTGCTGTTGGTGGTGGTATACCAATGCATGACTTCGACGATGACGGTTGTTTGTGCCACTCTGATCAGTGTGCGTCGGATCAAGAACAGACAAGGCGGACGGCTCGTCAACTACAGCAGTTGCAGCAAACTAGATCAAAGGAGAGCAAAGCGAAGGTATGCGTGTATCAACATCTACGACCTTCTCGAAAGATTGAACCTGTTTTTGGTCACTCAAGCTCGAGGTTCAAGAGAGAGATTCAGGCTGTTTTAGTAGGTATGAATGCAGTCAGTGCCGATTCTGCGGGCCTCTGTCACTACTTGCGCCTCACAACAAAGTGCAGTTCTGTTTTCATATTTGCGACTCATGAAGATGAAGTGCCCGGATTGTTCTGCCTCATTCTAGTTCTTCTTTTCTTCTCGGCTTTGACCAATCAGAAAGCCGCAACCAATGCTATGCCGACGTGCAGGAAGAGGAAGAATTGAGCGTTGCTTCGCTCTCGGCGAGAGTAAACGAGCTGGAACAAGAGCTGGGATCGTCTCGAAGGGCTGCAAGGCAGGCGGAGACCGTCAAGAAGGTGCCTCGTGTGTGGATACGTCTTGAGTGCTGTCCTGTATCAGGTCCCATCAATTTTGATGCCAAAGTAGATTATGTTTTGCGCTTGGAGTGTGACTTGCACAGTTTTCTAGCTGTCGTATCTGTGGAGCATCAGTTAAGGTGCCTCATTGTTGGCAAACAATTGGTACGAAACTGCTCTGTACCTCTTGTGCTTGCGCGTAGTAGAGTTGGCGGTCAGGAAGGAAAGTAGATATACAGACATTGGCAGTATCATGGGGCACCACCTCGACTTGACTCCATCAGTGCTCGAAGAAGCCTACAGCTTCGTGTTTCAAGGTCGTGGCGCATCTATCCATACCGTTGCTCCCCCCACGGAACTTTGCTTGCAGTACTGTTTGGTTGCGGATGCATAGCTTCCGAGACTCCCACAACTAGATCATGTTTTTCGTCGCAACGTATGCATACGCGTGTTTTATCTTGGTGGAGGTTCTTATGACTTACACAGGACGAAGTATTCGCGTAGATACGATAGGGCGTGAAGAGCGTGGATCCCTGCACGCCATAAAGCTGCTTCTCGGAACCCATTATTGTTTTGGGTTGTGGCGATTGACCTCTGCAGCTGTAGGGTGCAACTTTCTTCAGCCATCGAGGTGCTTCATTTGATCCATCAGTTCAAATCTTGGCTTCTCGCCCTAAGCCCTGGTGATCATGGAATGGTTCCAGCTGTATGAAGGCTGCTGCTGTTTGCCGCTCTATATTCCGGGTTTTTGAACAACCAATCGCAGTCACTAGAAGTACGGCTTCACCGGGCGCTCGAGGAGGTTTCTAAACAGAAGGAAGCCGTGCGCCAGACGAGGGGACAGCACAAGGACCTCGGCCAGGGGCAACGTCTGGAAATGGCTCGACTAGAGGGACATTGCCAGCGCTTGGAGAGGCAGAAGGTGTTGATTGCTTTTTTTTAACGTCTTGGAGATGGGATGCGGTACATGGCACGGTGGTCGCACTCTGTTGGTTTCATTGGTATTTGTTGTTGATGGTACAGTTGCTAGGGTACGGCGCTACCACCGGGAAAACAGGCTTATGGAATAAGGGTGAGGCCGTATGAAAGGAATAATAAAAAATCGGTGAAATTACTCAAACCTGGCCACTGGTTGTGTAATAGAGTTTTTGTTACGATCTTTGGTGCACTGTCCGGCGGTCTTGGTTTATCATGCGAGCGTTTCGCAGCTTTTGAAGACAACATTTTCCGCCCGTACTGTGATGCGCAACCACCCCTTTGCTGCCCCTTCGGCCTTTCGTTTGTCTTGTTGTCGATATTCGGCAGCTTGAGTTGCTGTCTGCATTCAAGAAGCAGCTCAAGCTCATTGACGTTTTGAAGCGCCAAAAGGTAAGCCGCGACCACAGCTTATAGCAAGTTCGGTGCTCAATGAACATCTGTGCCTAATTTGGCGGCGTTGTTGGACCTCCAATGTAAACTATTCTCGTCGGCGTGTCAAGTTCAATTCGTACTATTGATGTTGATCATCAGCGCATGACGATCTGTTGGTAGCCTCTACAAAGTCACCCCTCTCTGCAAATGCGTGTTTGGTGGCGCGATTTCCACGTGTTCTCCGTTTTGAGACGTTCGAATACCACGGAACCCAGAAACGATCGGACAGGTTCACGTGACGTAATCCAGCTACCCAGCAGTTTCGTGGCCGCAATTGTTTCCATATCTGAATCTACCCCAACCAATAGGGCTACTACAGAGGAGCCTCGCGTTCTCTCCCGCGTGAAACACATCTTCCGGACACAACAAGCTTCGCACGGTTTCTGGCACCCACTTGCAGTGTTCCCAAACAGAGAAGACGCACAGGATAATGAACACGTGCTAGTTTCGAAAACCATGACAGACGTGCTGCCTCATGAAACTCTTCTCGGTGAAGGGTTCACACCCATGATATCACTCGTGCCGGTTTGAACGACATTTTGCCTCACCAGTTCCATGTGGAGGCGGCTCGTCTGCTGGGTTTCACGGAGGAAGACTTCGTCAAGACTCTAGACTGGGATTCCAAATAATCTGGACGATGCGGATGATATTATCTAGGACCGGTGGATTGGGTTCGGGGTTTCGCGTGGTCCGTGAGACCGGGGTGGCTAGACGGCAATGGTGCAAGACCTAGCGGTTAGGGGGGGGGGTTCCAATCCCGGCGATGTGTGTTACTTTCATATTTATGCGAGAAGAACGCACTTGTTCATGAAAACTCTTCATCGAAGGACCTGATCCCCCTCTCGACTTAGGAAATGATAAGGGTACCCTCTGCCAAGAGGTTGGTCGACGTGCCCCGCGATCGGAGCTCATGAGTCGGGAAAGTAAGGCCGCAGGGAAGCTCTACATCACGACCGACGGCTAAGGTGCATTGGGGGTCGAAAGTACAATTCAGGCTAACACCGAATGCAGGGAAATGGGATCGCATTCCAAAGCACAGACGTCATCAAAGGACCACTCTCGACCACGAATTCGTACAAATGGTCAACCACAGTTGTCTCTACACGGAAGCACGTGTTCGCAGCATGCCGAACACACATTCTTTGACATACGATGACCTATTAGCAACAAGGAGAACGGTGTTTTGCATTGCAACGGGTTCTGTGTACCGTCCGACAGCGAGGCGCTCGCATGTGTATATTCCGGTACAAGCAGCTCACTCAACTATCCGGTCATCTGTCTAGCACTCTATGCGCTGCAAGATGCCTGCCAACGGGCCTCCTCAATATGTCGGCTTCGAGATGTTGCTCGAAGAGCCGGCGGCCGCTCTCGGCGATGCTCATCCGCAACCCTGGCCTGTGAAGATAAAACTGGCACGTCTCCGCCAGGCGCTCCGGTGGTGCGAACACAACTCCCCCAGAGAACTTTGCCCTCTCGGAATCACTACCGCTCATCTCGCTGACGATGAACCTACGAGCGAGTGCGCAGTGGAATTTTTCTTGACAACGCAAAACAAATGAGTGAAAGTTGAACATTTGAACGATTCCAACACAAATCCAGAGTAGCGACATCTTGCTGTACGTAAAGGCCCTGCGCCCACCATTCATTGTTGCTCGTCGGACGAGCGAGGAGCAACACCTGTCAATTTGGAAGCCCGCATCAAGCACGCACCACAGTAGTGCGAACGAGCTCTCACTTGATCGTCGCACCCACTCACCTTCCGTTGGCCAAAAGACGGGCAAGTCGAGGCATTTTCCATTCCCCGTTGTCACAAAGATCTCCTGGGCTGCTGCCGTTGCTCCTGGACTCGATCGTAGTCGTCGTGGCCCCTTCAAAAGCGTTCAAATTGAGCACGATTTTGCTCCTTGCGGATACCGTATCAAATGCAGCACCGAACAGGTCTACTCCCTCAGAGTTCGGGTGGAAAACCGTGATGCCCGCGTCGCGCAGTCGGCGAATGGTCCGTTGCCGGGTAGGAGTCTCCATCCCAATGAACAGCACGTCGATATCTTCATACTCCCGTTCTTTAAGTACGCGTCCACCCGCGACGAGAAGACTGCTGGATCGGAGCTTTGAGGAGAAGCCCAGTGGAACAACGTCGGTATGGATGCCCATGTCCAGCAAACGCTCCGCGTTCTCCTCTGAATAGTCCCATAACGTGTAGCTTCCGTAAATGTGAAGCGTTCGAGCTGAAACTAAGCTCCTGTCTCTTGTCCCAGGTTCTACGAGATTCGTCGATTCTCGCGGCCAACGACAAGGTATTTGTTCGAAGTTGTACAAAACTTGCAGAAGAGGCGTACGAGAAAAAACGAAGAAGGTACCAGGTCAAAGTTTGAAAAAGTCAGGGATCGGGGGTGGGGTAGCGTAGATATGTGTGTGGGAGTGGTACAATTTGTACCAGGAAAACGGATGGGTAGTTCAATCCTGCGCCATGTGAAATGCCTTAACTTTGGTGCATTTCTCTTTCTCTCTGTCTCTCTGTCTGTGTGTGTCTCTCTCTCGTTCCTCGAAGCAAAGCGTGGTATCACCTGCGTCGGGTGGCAGCAATTTCTTTTCGAGTACCGCGAGTCCTCCATCCCCAGTGAAGTAGCTCGCCAGATTGTGTGGCGCGAGGATGATGAATTTCCCTCCTTTGGCAAAGCAATGGTCAGTCACCAAATTCGTGCAATACACAATCCTCGATGGGTGCCCAAGGTTTTGCAGACCATCTTGCACAGTCTCAGCGATGTCACGAAACACCAGGGCTGTCGTTTGGTCCGACGGCCCTTCCAGCACGACAACGACGTCAATCCGTTGTTGTACCCACAGCAGTTTCTGTGTGCTAGTCGTCGGGTGGGATAGGGTCATAACGGTGGGCATGTGGACAACAACTCGTGGGCGTGCTTGCCGAGCAATTTGAGAATCATTGGTGCGCATTTGAACGGCGGCTGGGAATTCTACGTGCACAGCAGTAGACAAAGTGGGGCCACACAGAAGTAGTCGACAACATATCGCACACCAGGATCATTGCTGAATACGCCCCAAACAGCAGTACAGCTTGGAGTCAGTTCCGACGTGTAGTCTGTCTGGTAGAAGGAACCAGGTTACTCCACATACGCTACACCGGACTGCTGTAGGGATGTCAGATTTGTACTCGCCAGACACATTTTAGACGCCTTACATATATACCGCGCCGATTTTTTAAGTTAACAGCAGGACCTTGTGAGGTCTCGAGGCTAGCTAAACCAACCGCAGAACGGCCATCTCCAATCTCCGTGTGCATGCATGCAATGGTCACTTGTTGCTCACGCTGATGATTCTTGAAGATCGCGGCTGCGGTCCCGACGTTGACTTTGTCCGGTTACTGTCGGAGCGATAAGAACCAATGCAACGAGCATCCATAGTCTGCCGAGATATCTCATAGGGTAGCTAAGACGAAGTTGCCAAGATCTAGCGCCCCACGATAGGCACAACAATACAGTTTGATCGCAAACCAGGTGCGTATCCATATCCATATCCCATACATGCATATCCTTGTTGACCAAGACGAGAAAACAGTTCTGAACCTGACCCCACTACGGTCAGCAGTACCAATCGCGGGGCCGCCACCTCAGTGCATGATGCAGCACAACGAATTGGAAAAGGTAGCATAGCCGCGCTCGTGCTATCACCCTTCTGCCGAGTGGCACATCGACAGGCAATGGCGTCAAGGTTCCTTCGAGCCGATCTGCGGCGCGTATTCAGGCCTCTTGGCAGGCCTACGAGCAGCAACAGCAATGCCTTCCTCTCTTTGGCCACGACACGGCCAGATGAACCCTCGGTGGCGCCGTCGGCATACAGTCCGTCCGCATTGACAGCAGCAGCTCTTGATTCGTCGGAGTGGCTTTGTTCAAGCGTCCAGTCCTCTGGCCATGCACACAGCGAGTCAGCAACATCGCGTAGCGGTAGTAGTGAGCACGGTCCCCGGCTTCCGTTACCTGTCACCGGAATGTTTCTGGCCTTGACATCAGCAGAGCAGCGCTACGTCGGTTGCTGGAGAGGAGGGGCGGTAGGGTTGGGGTTGTGCTCAAGACAGCAGCAACAGGCAGGGAAACGATTCCTGAGCAGTCGCAGTGGCAAAGCCGGTGGCCAGACGTGAGTATGATTGATGCTTTACGTAGCCCGAGTGCCTACGTACGTACATTTGCACGCGACAAGGATCGAATACGAAGTACCAGGTGCTTTCTCAAGATCGACGCTCTGCCCTCTTTTTCTCTGTTGGGTGTACAGCAGTCTGCTTGCTTGAGCTGCTTTCTGTGCTGTTGCCTGGAGTGCTTGAACACAAACCGGGCCGCCGATACCGCGTGGCATGGGACTTTTGGCAGACTCTGTCGGCTGTGCCTGGATAGGAACTGCCGTTGCATAGGCCAACACAACCTAAAACTGCTCAACTGCACGCGACAGCGTGCTTCGTTGCACCAAATGCGGCGAAATTACTTCATCCCCGAACCTTCTGCGTTCACGGTCGGATTCCGGATTTGGGGCGCACACGGAGCATGGACCGTGAGTAGCACATGTAGCATCCAGTATTTTGTTTTGTGAGACACCTGTGTTTCGACTTGTTCGTTTTCCTGATTTCCAGCAAGAACCACGCACACCACAGCAGTACAACCTCGACTGTTCAGCGCTAAAGTGGTGTAGGGTGACGTTGTAAACTCGTACCCACTGGGTGCTGCGCACGTCCTTTTTTTTTTGTGTGTTTTGCAAGAAAGACATTTGGATTGTTAGAAAAGGCGACAAGAACTCAAAAACGCCGAAACCAAAAAATATCAAAACCAAAATCCAACCTATGAGCCGAACCATTGACTTCTTCTCGGACTCACTAGGTATCACTTATCGGGCCAACCCGACGTCTATGCCGAGGTCATATCCCCTCACCAGAAACGCAAAAATCAATGGAAAACAAATTTGGTACTAGACAGATTTTTCTATTCCCCCCATTGATCCCTCCTCTCTTGAGCGACAGGGTGAGTGGGTGGGAAAATTCGATCAAGTCCCAAACGAAAACTCTATTCTCTGGCTGCTGCTTTGCTGCACTGCCTTCGCGGGCGATGCAACGCTTTCCCTTCGAGGCCCTCGGCTTCCCAAGGATCCCAAAAGCTTCTGCCACTCTCTCTCTCTTATTTGCACCCATATAGCTACACCCCCGTGTACCCTTTGTGGCCTCTCGCCGCTTNAGATTTTTCTATTCCCCCCATTGATCCCTCCTCTCTTGAGCGACAGGGTGAGTGGGTGGGAAAATTCGATCAAGTCCCAAACGAAAACTCTATTCTCTGGCTGCTGCTTTGCTGCACTGCCTTCGCGGGCGATGCAACGCTTTCCCTTCGAGGCCCTCGGCTTCCCAAGGATCCCAAAAGCTTCTGCCACTCTCTCTCTCTTATTTGCACCCATATAGCTACACCCCCGTGTACCCTTTGTGGCCTCTCGCCGCTTTTTCACGAAATTTCCGGAACGCTTCCACAAACCACGGATTCACGGTTGTACCGAATCCTTCGTATCTTCTGATGTTTTGACTTCCTATTCTCCCGCTCCCATGGTACTTGGACCTTTAACATCTTGCATGAAGTTGTTATCTTGGTGAAAGGGAAATCGCTTCGGTATGTTGGAATCATCGTGGCCTTGCCCCAACTTCGGCGTTGTCATTCCGTGTTCTAGAGGGTAGGGCATCAACCTAAGAACAGCAGCACAACGCTTCGAGTACCGAACAGAACATTTCCATGTTCTTCACACGTATCCGCGGTGCCGTAATAGGCTTACGAACAAGAAGATCAAGGCCGAGAAGATTCTGCTGGTGCTGGAAACAGAAGACGGCTCCAAGACGGCTACCACCGTCTCTCGGCAGCAGGCGCTCGCCGCCGCAAATGCTGTAAACCTCGATCTGGTGCAAGGTGAGGAAGGAGACCCCGATATTTTAATAACTGAACTGTGGTTGATGTGGACAAGAACTCACTTCGAGGGGGCATAGTTTTTCGCTTGTTCTTTTTCGTGTACAAGAAGAAAACGAATTAATATTCTATCAGCAAGGAGTTCAGGATCAATTTGCGCGAATGTGGCAGGTTTAAGGTAAGTATTATGCAGTGTGGTGCAGGCTAGCCATGGTGTGAAGCAGGCAAATGGGTCGCTGCGGCAGAGCGATATTCTCGATCGCGTGCATGTTGCTGTGCGGAGCTTGAGAGCGAGACGCAGCAGCAGTACTAGTGTTAGGGGTGCCAATCANTCCTGAGACAGTTGTAAGCACTGTTAGGGGTGCCAATCGGGCCGATTTTGGCGGCAAAAAAGTGACCGGTCTATTCGAGGATTTTGGGGAAAAAAAGGGGGGCACGCAGATTGTTGGTTCTCAGCTCAGCTCTTGAAATCATACCGATCAAAGTATACTTTATCCTCCGTATGTTTGTTCAAGAGTCCCTGCGTCCAGGCAGCGATGTGGCTCTTCATACGTTACACACATCTGGAGACAGGTCATCTACACGTGACTGCGGGTTCGTTTTCTACTGACGTTCAAAGGGCGGGCGAACAATACAGAAAACCCTATGAAATTCGGTTTGAAGGCTCACGCTCGTGGCCGCGTTTGGTGATCGTAGAACAGCGGATCCGCAGCGCACAGCCTCGGGTTTTCAGCGACACAACGCAAGAAACCGAACTAGAATGGCACAAACTACCAGCGAGAACCGCATGTCTGGAAATGGCCAGTCAAGCACGCCAAGCACCGCGGTCGAGGTCCCCAAAAAACGCAAACGCTCGGCCTTCGACGCGGGAGGAAAAAATCGAGTTCGTCGCAACCTCAAGAAAAACGAACGCAAATACACAGAGCGGGAGGGGCGGGCCTTTGCCGACGCGGCCGGAGCAGCGCACACACAGCGCGCGGTCGAAAGGGGTGGTGTTGCCGTCGCGCAGAAAGCGCTGGTAGAAAAANGCCAAGCACCGCGGTCGAGGTCCCCAAAAAACGCAAACGCTCGGCCTTCGACGCGGGAGGAAAAAATCGAGTTCGTCGCAACCTCAAGAAAAACGAACGCAAATACACAGAGCGGGAGGGGCGGGCCTTTGCCGACGCGGCCGGAGCAGCGCACACACAGCGCGCGGTCGAAAGGGGTGGTGTTGCCGTCGCGCAGAAAGCGCTGGTAGAAAAAGAGCAGGAGTTGATCGAAAGTAGACAGCGCGAGGCGGCGAGCGCCGCTGGGTGCAGCATTGCTCAGGAGCGTTCTATGTGATTTGATTGGCTCGAGCGATTTTCCATCTGGAAGATCCAGGTCACTTTTTGAAAAAATTTCCTATAGGAAATTTGACCGATTGGTACCCCTAACTGTGGTATGGTCCAAACAAGACAAAAGTTGGCGTTCGTTCATCTTCAAGCATGTTCGTGTTAGCATTGCCGAGAGGGACGAAGCAATATCTTGAGCACGTTCACCTTCCTCCGCTCAACCCTTCCACGCTCCCAAGCTGACTATCACATTTTGTCTCCGTGTATCCCCAGCACCTTTGTTCGCACATCTCTCACCTGCTTCGTCTCCATGTTTGCTTTGCCTCCGTGTTTGTTCCCTGCGCGTATTCCTCCACGTCGGATGATTGACGTGGCCGGCCGCTGGTCGGTACAACACTAACAAAACAAATAAAAGTAAGTAGCGGTAGGAACGACCAGGTGGTCTGCAGGCTCATGGACTTCAAGAAGGAGGAGTACCGGAAGAAGAAGCAAAGAAAGGCTAACGCGAAAAGGATCCAGAAGAAGAAGGAGATACGATTGCGGGTGCGGGCCGTCGCTGACGTGTTGTTCTATGCGTGGAGGGTGTTCAACTCCTGTGGTCTCATTTCGCAGTGTTACTTTTGACGTCCTGTCTCTCCTTCCATACCCCGCCGTTTGCAGTATGCTCAATACTCAAGTATCACCGCGTACACCCAAAAGGAATACCCCAAGAGGCAAAACTATGTGCATTACCTACCTCTGTGCCCCTGGCTTCTTAGGCAACAAGGAGGGGAATTCATCGTTGGGAATCGCCTTGCTACTGCTGTGTGTGTGGCCCAGCTTACTCTTGAGATGCCACGCGATTTGTTCGCTCCTAACTATCTTCCGAGTTGGTCACATCACCTTGCCTAGTGACACTGCTCTCCAACGTATTCATGTCGTATTCTTGATGATTGGCGTCCTCACCTTTCTTGGGAATCCCATTTCGGGCTCGTGTGTCTCGCCGAAAAACAGAAACAATGATCAAGCTGCGGTAAATCAACACAACACGTCCAGTATCGTGAAAACCGCCCACCGGAAACGTCTGTTCTAGCGCACACCCTTTTCCTGTTCTGGAATACAAACTCGTCAATGTTTAGCGGCTCCTTCTTTCTTGCTTGCCTTGAGAGTCTTTTGTTTAGCCGTTCGCAACGCTGCACGAATATTGGTCCTTCGCACGTATGGTAACTGCTGCACCGCCACTAATTTTCTTTCCAGGGCATGATCGCGGACCACGACTTTGGCAGGAAAGTGAACGATGTCAAGAAGTACTTGGAGAGAGGGGACGTCGTCAAGGTAAAAACCCAACGGCTTAGGCTGGTGCAAGCTACTGAAGAAGTGCAGGCAATATAACATGCTGTCACATGTTCAATGTGCGTCGTTCGCGGGTATGTTCCCGCCATGTCTCGCGTTGTGTTTTCATACTCCCTTCCTCACTTACTATTGCGTTCGTTCTTCTCTCGTCTTGCATCATGAAAACAACCTAACCACGGCAGGTGGTATTGGAGGCGAACATATCGCTACTCAAGCGGTCCGGGAACTGCTTGAACGTCTTGCAGGAGAAATTCGAGGAGCAAATGGAAGAATACGAAGGGGTGCGTATGTCCTGTATTTTCTCTTTCACTGGTGGTTTCATTGATGCGGCATGACAAGACAACTCCCTCGAACCCAGCCGAACCCACGATACTGCCGATGAATCGAAAAACATCAGGCGGCACGTCCATACCCACCAGAAACAAAGCAAGCAACGCACAAACGTTTGACAGGAGAATGGCCTGTTGTTGCCCTCAAGGGTACCTTTGCTGCCAACGTCGAGGGATTTAGAATCCTCGGCCACCTGGCTAGATAAACAAAGCTTGAGTTTCCAGAACAGAACCAGAAACGTTCTGACTCAATTCTCTGACCGATGTCGTCAACACGGCCTCCACCGAGCGAGGGTTGATAGGTTGTCGCTGTGCTGGCGAAGGAAGCCTTGCTTCCAACTTGCGACCCAACAACGTTTTAGAACCCGCAACGGCCGAATTCCTACAAAACTCGACACTACGCCGGGGCTTCCATGTCCCGTATGCAGGCATTCCGTGGGTTGTATGTCGAGCGCGTTCGATCGCCAGTTGTGGAACGGCACACAATGACACCAAGTGGACATGTAGCGTGTAGTCGAATTTGGTTCTGCCACCTTCATGCTGTTGAAATTGCATTGCTTGTCGTACACCCAACCGCCCTTGTTACAAAGCAACAGAGATTTCCAAGCTTTCGTGACAAACACGTCCTTCATGCCGACATTGGCTGACGAACGTTTCGAAGACGCTAGCGAAGCAATCAAGCTTGCGTCCGGGGGTCTTGTTTGTTTAACGGCGTGTTCTGGAAAGCGCATTTTAGGTTGTGCCATTTTGCGTAATAACGAAGAGAATGTCAAGTCGTTCTCTTCAACGAAATTGAAATCGGGTCTTTTCCCTACCGACTGCCTCTCATTCCTCAAGGAGGAGGAAATGGTTAACGGATATGGTTAACGAATAACCTACATGTAGTATGAGGCTGGCGTTGCTTTGGCAGAGCACGTCGTGGCGTACTCGCCCCTCGCCCTCTTGTCGGAAGAAATGCTTGTGGCCTGCCCAACTCGACTCCGCGTTACGTACTGCTGTAATGCTGCGAACCGTATGGAAACAACTTTTTTATTCATCGATTAATCTCCCTCGGTTCCTTCGCAGGCTGTGCTGAAGCACTCTGGAGGGGGGAACGGGTACACCCGTCGGGAAATCGAATGCATCCCGAAAACCGTCAGGCCGACCACCGCAAAGCCGACAACGTCGGCCTCTGAGGCTCCGGGGAGAGATGGTGGCGGTATTCCCGAGGCTGGGGAGAAGGAGAACCCCATCCCCCCGCCGTCGCGTGGCGGGGTGGTCGACAAACATGTCGTGCTCGAAGTTGTCAGCGGAGCAGCAGCAACAGCGCATGGAGGGAGTGAAGGAGAGCTATCTTCTTCGAACTCTGGTGGTAACGCCACTGATGGATCCGCGGACAGTTCTCGGGAAGAGGCATCGGGAGAAGATTCCTCGTCAGACGACGAGGACGTGGCTGAAACAGCGTCGCCGTTGAAGTTGGGAAGCACTGAGATCTTGTTAGACGATGTGGAGCTGTACGACGATCTCGTGGATGAGACCGTCTACGACGACGGCGACATTGAGAGGGAAAGAAACGAGGCCCGAAGACGCGAAGACCGGCAGAAGCGGGAAGAAGCTAAGGAAAAGGTTAGAAATGCGGCCCGCTACGCTCCCACGCGCGGTGGCGGCGGCGGCGGTGGGCGCAAAAAGTGGAAGGCTGAAATTGACCGCGAGGGCGGTGGGGGCGGTGACAATTTTGACGAGGAATCTGGGTGGGGTGAAAAGGATGACAGGCGGACAGCACGCCGGGTGCCCACGGGGAGAGATCAGCAAACCGGCGGAAGGAGGGGGGTTGCGGGCGGGGACAGTAGAGCGGGTGCCAGCGACAGCGGAGGTAGTCCCAAGGTATGGTCAACAGGCGGCGGACGTCGAGATGGCTCCTTTCCAAACGTGCTACAGCAGGGGGCGGGTAGCTTTAGACGAGGGGATCGAAGGGGCAGCGATGGCGGCAGTGGTCCACGTGAGGGGCCTCCTCCGTCTTCGCCAGCACTTGCAGCCCGGGCACCGTACAAGTGGCGGACTTCCATTGCCGATGCAAAGGTGGTGGAGGCAGGCGGGGACAGAGAAGGGACATCCGCGAAGCCCTGGTACACTAGTTCTAGTAGTGCCGCGTCACTGGCACGGAGGAAGGCGGCGCGCACGAAGGATGGCGGCGGGGGTGCCGCTGCAGCAGAGGAGGTCAGGGGGTTTAAGGCTCGGTTCGGCGGAGGATCCATGAATCTGACGCCTACAAACTCAGTTGCTGTTAGAACTGCCAAGGCAACATCCAGTCAAGGGTTTCGCAGTTCGTCTGTGACTGCGCCTTCTGCGAAGGTGAACCCGCCAAAGGCATCTGAAGTAGGCTCGGACCGAGGGGTGGACGGCGAGGAATGATGCTATTGATGGCGTTCTGGTTCGTGATTTAACGATAGACCGCAGCGTTTTTTTTTCGTTGATCCTCGTGTCGTTCAAAGGGTTGACAAGGGGAGGAGGTATTATTGGCTAGAGCCGAGCCTACTTCATTTTAGGGTTGTGCTCTCAGCTTCATATTGCCAGCTAAGCAACGGTTGCAAATCGCGAAAAGTCGAAGCGGTGTGAATTATGTGTTGCGCTACACCCGATGGCGCAGGCACACCTGCCAGATAGTGCTACACGTTGTGAGCACCGTGTCCATCAGAACCCTTTTTTCGAGACTTTTTCCGCAGAACGGAAACGTGAATCGTGAACTTGTGCTTCTCGGTCGCCGGTAAACGAAAGGGTGTAATAGGTAGCCTGTACATTGTGCATATGGTAATGAACCTTCTAGACCTCAGAGACGGCACCTAAATATATCGGTTGTTCCAGTTGCCAGCTATGCAGGTTCCCTCGCCACCTTCGTCATACCCAAGGCGATGACGGTAACTCCAGGGCTGTGCGTACGCTGCTGTCGTCTTGATTCATCACCTGGAGGCCGAACGTATAAGCTACCCTAGAAAACTTCTACAACAATAGTATGCATACACCCAAGAGCAGGATGTTGTCACAACAAACAAACTCGCGCGAGAGCTGTCCTGTTCGCACCGACAGGTTGGCTGGTCCAAAATGTGCTGCACCAACAACACAGCGCTGTTAAAAAAAGCGCGCCTTAATAGCGCCTTACCGCATGTACCTTAGATCCTCACACAAGTCCCTTGTCTTTCCCACCAGGAACCAAATTTTTCTGGACCCAAACGAACCACCTTTGTCCGCGTGGGGAAGCACCGCAGCCTATGAACACTACCAGACCCCCCCTAGCCCCTCGTACTGTACTGGCTGAGGTCTAGCTTTCTACCAGACGTTCGAGAGCCGCTACCCCCGCCTCTCCCGCCCGCGTCGCCTCCCGCCACTCGAGCCCCTCGCCCCATCATTGCGGCGCGCACAGCGCCTTCTAGTGCCTGGCGTTCCCCCGCGGCAACGTAAGCCACAGCCTCTTTGAAGGCTCCTCCAGACGACCTTGCGACGAGCAGTAAAGCTTGGCCGATGGTGGCACCCAGCATCGGCAGGTTGAGAGCCAGAGCGGAAGAGTAAAGGGGCAGCAAAAGGCCGAGAAGGGGGCCGTGGCTTGCTTGCGGCGCCGCCTGTCAACGGATGCCGCGCGTTGTTGTTGTGGCAAGCGCAGGGCGGGTGAATAGGGTAAGGGAACAAGACATAAAAAACGTTCAACGCATTGAAAAACTGAACGCGCCTCACGGCGATCCACTGCGTCATTCTCTGAAGTATACATGCGGGGGAGCGAGGACACAAGTCGACTTTGGAGTAGAGAGCTCAGCTTGATGTCGTCCGCGTGTTGCCCAACGCCGTGTGCGAAAGACAGTGTGCAGTCATGAATTTACCGCCAACTTGTCACAAACCGTCTTCGAGCACAACGGAAAAACACGGTCTAGCGCCGTATCCAAACGCTGTTTCAACACAGGCGACCGAACTCTTGTAAAAACAGTCACAAGCTGCATGATGTGCAAAGAAGTGACTGCATTAAGGTCCAGGAACACATCCCCCCACGCACAAGTCTGTCGCTCGTCTCGGCAAACACGACAGAGAAAGCTCACCTTGAACGCGAGCTGGGCGAGGTGCACGCCCTCCAACAAGCATGCTTCCCGCGGTTCCTCGTCCGCCACAACGTTGCCCCCTCCCGCCGCCGCCGCCGCCGCCGCCGCTGCTGCTGCGCGATCCACCTCGAGCCGCAAGCCGGCCAACGCGTGCGGCGCAAGCAACCGCATTAACGCTGAAGCCGCCGCTTTGCGATACGCGCCCCCGTCCGCCTCCGCCTGCCCCGCCGCAGCTCCGTCGTCCTCACCGGCCGCCGCCTTGACAGTGACGACGACAGCATGCAGCAACGCAAGCCGGGTGGAAACCGAGCACTTCTCCGCGGGGGAAGTCAACGCCTCGCGCAGCGGCCCCGCGAGACCGTCTGCTTCCTGGGGGATCGTCAGGGCGACCGCGCCCCAAGCTTCCGCGGCTGCGCCGATCGCGGCCGCCCTTTCTGTCGTTGCCCCTTCTCCACCCAGAAGGAAGGTCAAGAGTTCGTTCACGGCCCGACCCGCACCTAGAAGCAAATTCAGGGCATCCGGCACGGCAGGTGGCGGCGATGCGATGGGGACGTCGCCTGTGCTCCCGTTCTCTGGTGTGGTGGCATCATCGTCCTGGGAATCTACACAAGCAGGCGCGTCTGCGCTCTCCGCGGGGGTCGTCGCTGCTGCTGCTGCTGCGGCGGCGGCGGCGGAGGCGACGGGTGCACCGGCTGCTGCTGAGGTTTCCTGGCTGCTTTCGTCATTACCGACACCATCCGGATCTACTGGCGCATGAAGAACATCCTTGGTCTCATTCTCGGTTTCGTCCTCCGTGTCGTTGTGCGCAGACCGGTCGACCCCGTCTTCCGCAGCAGAGGCATGCTCGTCTTCCTCACCATCATTGTTGTTCGACGGTGCGTCGTCCTTATCCTGTACCACCGGTGCCTCTTCTTGCCAAGTCTCACTTTCCTCCTTCCCTTTCCCAGAGGAGTCATTCCTTCGCACCCGGACCTCGCCTGATTCTGCCGCCACCTCTGCCTTACCGACGGAGGCCTCCGAAGCAGCATCTTCTACAGCAGGAACACTTCCAGCAGCAACAGCAGCGGCAGCAGGGTCATCGTTCACCGAGGGAGGAGAAGAATCCTCCTGCAGCTCGCCCTCAGCCCCCTGGAAGTCGCCCTCGGCCCCTTGGAAATCGTCGTCCCCCCAATCGTCGTCATCGCCGTCCTCATCATTTGCCACGACCCCGCTACCCTCCACGATTTCAGCGCCACCATCAGGCCCGGGCGCAGTCGAAACGCTTCCAGTTTCGGGGACGGCAGCCCCTCCCCCCGCACTAGGCACTGCCTCCGCACCCTCAATATCGCCCTGGGGCGGTCCGAGACCATGAGCAACTTCACCGGGACCAGCTTCTTGCCGCTGCTGTATATCCCCGTGGCGCCACACCTCGCGCACGCAAGATCGCACGAAATCGACGGCAGCTTTCGCTTCCGGTGTGGACGATAGCCCCTTAGCGGCGTCCTCACTACCACCACCACCGCCCGTTGCGGAGACCATCCGCGCTGCTGCGGCAGATCCAGCAGCAACCCCAAGCACCCTGCCCGATTCCGCTCCGAGAAGTCTCACGGAAAGCAGGAGGAGCGAGGGGAGCGTGCTCGAGAGTCTGGGGGGCGGGCAGAGAGGAACAAGGCGGGACAGGAGCGGGAGGAGTGCCGCAGACACCATCACCGCCGCTTCCTCGCCCGCCGAGGAGCTTTTGTCCTTGTCGACCTCCGCCGCGAAGGCCTTCGCCGCCGCATTTGCCGCCGCACCGTCCGCACCAGCAATCACAGGCGGGTTCGAGACCATCCCGGGAGCGCCGTTGCTCGTGCTGTCGTCCGAAGGAAATTCGGCGGTAAACGTAGCTCCGCCGATTTGAGCGGGTGTAGATGATGCCACGGAGAGAGAGTTGGGTACTGTGTTACCCGTTTCTTCTCCCGGAGGTAGCGGCAGGTCAAACGCTGCCGGAATGTTGGCGTTAACGGCACCAACGACACCTCCCATAAGACCTTCCCATAGTGCCAACGGCTCTGAAGGTCGTGCGCACGAGAGCAGGGGGCAGAGGAGGATATGGAGACCCAGGGAAGGGAGGGGATGAAATTGAGTGCGTAGCACAGAAGGGTCATCGGCATCTCGATACGACTAAAGGTCACCACAATTTTTGGGATGCTACGGTACATGAACGTTAATACAGTGGCGGGATGAGTTGCTGCAGCTTACAAGGTTACCGCATGGAGCGCGACGAATAAACCAACTAAAATGCATCGGTTGCCGACAGCATCAATCGCGAACAAATCTATGGGCCAACTGTGCACACGACAAAAAACTACGTCCAATAGCCCTTTCTAGTTCGCCCTCTTTCAAAACGAGAACGCGGCACAAATCACAGTGGAAACGATGAGACCTGAAGCGACTCACCTGGATCACTCTCGCCCGCCCCTTCCTCGACCTCCTGCGTTTTCGAATCCACGTCCCTTCCAGCAGCCGTCATCGCTGCCGTGGCTCTCATCACATACTCACCCCCCTTCGAAGACAAAAGTGCTCCCAGGGCCGAGATGGCAGCGAGCTGGAGTCTGAGAGGACACTTGTAATCCGCATCTCTGCTTCCTCCTTTCACACTACCAGCCTCCGAATCTCCCACGCGCTGCAAGAACGGGGGTGATGAAAGCGTCCTGACGGCGCGTATGACCATCGACACAGGGACACCGGTAGCACTACCACTGTCAGGGCTCTCGGTTGAGCTGCCAACGTCGACCTCTCCCATATCCGCCCCGTTCTCCGGACCGATCTCCTGAGCCGACAGCGTTTTCGAGTTATCGGTAGGCGAGGGGCTTCCCAGTAGCTCGGGTCTCGAAAACAGGCACCTGACAAGAAGAAGCGTTGTACGTTGTAGAGCGACAAGATCGAAGCTTAGTGCGAACGCCAGCGCACGAGAACTACTGCTAAGGCCATGGCCCATATCATGACAACTTGGTGGAAACCAAGATCTTTGTCGTCGTTGTTAACAAGACGGGAGGGATAACTAACCCGGGCTCATACTGTTGACAACAAAAACGAGGAATATTCCAAGCTAAACGTCGTCTCCCCACTCTGACCTATTCACCAATGGTGACTATATCCAACGTCGCTGGGCTTCAACTTTGAAACGCACTCGGTGCACACCTGCCTACGCTTCGCACGCACAGAGCGATACCCGCGACCTCCACTGGTTATAACGTCGCCGATACGGATGCCTACAGCGGCAAAATCAGCAGCGAAAAAGAACTTTCAAGTGCCAACGTCGTACGTGACAAGAACAAGTGGTATCCAACTACAACAGCCAGCGCTTCCGGTAGAATGTAGCGTCGAGCACATCAGCCGCTGCCCCTTTTCCTTGCCTTATAGCCGTCAGGAACATGAGCGAAGCATCCTCCGCCATCAGCCCCTCGTCTTGCTCCTCGTCGTCGTCGTCATTGTCATCACCACCAGCAAGGCTGCCACCCCCGGTCACTCCTCGTGAGCCATTCGCAAAGTCGTTACCGGGTGACCCTAGGAAAGACCGCCCGTGTCGCCGGGATGTTCCCCCCAGTCGCCGTCGGACTAGCCTGAGCCACAACCGAAATTCGGCCACAACACAACTGTAAGCCTAACAACATCGACATGACAACAGCCAACAATGACGGCTATGACCGTCATGACCACAACCGCGGCCAAGCTGCGAGAGCAGGAAGCTGCTACACATCGGTGATGTACGTGTGGTGTCTATCACAATAGTGCGGGTGAGAGCTTGCGCTTGCTGAAAACAGTTTGGCAAACAAACATCATGCAGCCAAAGGTATGTTCTCAACTCCTCACCGAAGGGCACCAAGAGCATGCCGTGCACTAACAAGAACAGCCGCACCAATTGACAATACTCACCCTTCTTCAGCCGCCAGGAGCCCGCACAGGCACACCGACAGCAAAAACGGCGCGGCTTCGGCGTCATCGCCGGCCCCTTCCCTGCCGAGTTCTGCCGCGGCCGCAGCAGCCATTACGGGCCACCTCCCCTTCAGTGGCCCCTTCGCCAGCGACGGTTTCACCCCGGGAGGGTACGTCAGACCCGCACCGATGTTCAACTTGTCGGCACGTGGCCAAAGACCGCAAGCATCCCCCTGAACAAAAAAGTAGTAAACAAAACGGGAGTATCGAGGATCCAATACGTACATCGGTCAGCTAGATGCGATAGACATCTTAGTGGTTCGCACCAATCGTGCGGAAAATTACTGCAAGGCAGAAATTGGCAAATGCGTGGATACTTTTTCAAGTCAAAGACACAGGTGACGATTGCAAGCTCTGCAACCCTTGACCGCATAACGACAACGACTGGTGATATCGATTCAGGAAGTGCTGTCTCGCAGTCCTTTGATCCCCGACCCATCGCAAGCGCCTGCCCGCCTCCACCTCCCCACCCACCTGGTTAAGCCTTACCGCATCCTTGACGTTGGCAAGCCAGTGCAGTCCCAGCACCTTGAGGTGCTCTTTCAAAGCGTCCATTAGCCCCCTCCGGACCGAATCCGGAATCACGGCTGCAACAATAACGACACGGGGGAACGAATGTATGCATATGAGACGCGGCCTTACCATGGCCGCACTCGGTTCACGCCAGCGACCGACGTAAGACACAAATGATCGGATACAAGAAAGATTGCGCGTTTGTTTCGATCGCGGACAAAGTAGTGTAAGACCATCAGCAGCAGTTCTGACATGACAATGCGTGCAATAAGGGGAGTCCGTGCACGTCGCTTACGAGGCTTGCGCACTATCCACACCACATCTTCAAGAAGGGCCAGCGGAAAATGGGCACAGAAATAAACGATGCTCTTTTTCCCTCCCACTGGAAAAGCTACCCACTCGCATGGCGACGTAGCCTGGAAGCATCCCCATGAGACCATCTACTCGCGATGGACGGTAACTCAGCAGAATAGCTTCATTGAGGACACAAAACTTGTTCTTTTTTTTTGGAAACTCATGTTGGCGCCCCGACACCTCGAAACACGTTTATGATGCGAAAAAGGCGTCCAATAGAGAGATGGTCTTCTCCATATCACCACGTTCAACACCATACACCTCGTTGCCCTCCGCACCCATAAAACCTCACGATTCCTTGCGTACGGTCCTCCCGAGCACACAGCACGAAACCGCACCGTCGGCGAACGATCGTCCAACTCACCCCCCGAGCCGCTCCCGCCTCCGAACGAAGCCTCGTCTTCCCCTCCGGCGACCAGCCGAAGCGCCGCCAGGCACTGCAGCCTTGCCGCCCTCTCCGCCAGGGGGACGTGCATCCCGTACACGGCGGACACCGCTGGGCGGTAGCTAGCCTCCACGGCCTCCTTCAGCCTCAAAGCCTCCGCCTCCGCCTGGGACGACGAGGCCGCCTTGTCCTTGTCAGAGACCGGCGTTGCGGTCGTATCGCTCGCTCTCAGGGGACGGTTTCCATCCGTCCCCGTTTTTCCGAAGAACGACGCAGGGGAAGTGCCTCCTCCTCGTGCGGGCGAAGGGGAAGAGCCGCTCGCGGTCCCCCTCCAGCGGGGGCTTGGGGTGCGGCTGAGGCGGGTGCGGTGGCGCCTGCTCTCGTTCGGTTTTCGATCGTCCAGTCGGTTTCGTGTCAAGAATCGAAGGGAAAAGGGGGGCAGTTTTCGGGGCGGTAAGGGAGAGGAGAGAGGACTTGGAGGACGAAAAACAGCCCGAAAAGGTGGGGAAACCTGCCGAGTGGCTTTTCCTCGGGTCTGGCAAGCATAGCAACCACAACAAATCACAGCGAAGGGTGCGATACATATTTAGTGGTATACGTTTTCGCCCGAGCCACACCATACAAAAAAATGGAAAAATTAGATGAAAGCAATTGAGAGTCAAAGGAACCGCTTGCTTGCCGGGTACATGAACACCATACGACCATACGCGCCGAACACAGGGACGAAACAACACGGAGTAGATCGACAACTACAAGCGGAACCAACCTCTCAGGCATTTACACCCTACCCACCAAAACAAACCCCACCCTCAACTAGACGCCAGACCAAAGGACGGGGCGTGAACGACCATGCACACTTCCCGCCAGGCGGATGACCTCTGGGTCACGGTTATGGTTAGGTCCCGCCCTTGATGGCGACGGTTGGCCCGCTTACTGTACTCACGTCTTCTCTAGACCGCCCTGCTTGGCCTGTTTGGCGGACACGGACAACACTTCCGCTGGCATCACTTGTCGCACCAGTCTTTTCAGCACGACCTTGTCCTTCACCAGGCCCTGTGCCCCGCCGCGAAATCCAGCCAAAAAACAAAAGGGGGGAGGTGCGAACTCAGTAAGCAATGGCAATTGTACCCTGGGGTTAAATTGAAGTACGACATTTTTGACCACGGCGGAAACACCAATACACACCCTGCGTTGAGTGCATGGGAAGGCATGCTTTGGTTTGGCCTGTTACTCTGCTGGCCGTGTGTGTCACATCCTCAACCCCACAATGATTGTTTTTCGACGTTTTCAGTCAAAATATTCAGAGCCGAAACGAACCTCGCGGACAAGGGTGACCACCAGTTCGCAGCCACGCTGGGCAAGCCGCGGCGATACCTTGCAGCCTAGGGCAGGCCTAGCTGCGCCCGTGATCTGCGAGATAGACAGCTCCAGCGCTAGAGTCGGCGCCCGAACGCTCTTACCCAAGACGACCACTAGGCCAAGCTCGTCCTCGTCGGAGTCGGGGACCTACAGCAGTACGAAGAAGGCGCGTATCGGCACGGGTGATTGAGAGTGACGCTGTTATTCCATTGCGGTTTAAGTTGAACTTGTTGTCGGTGTCGTCTTGTTCCTCGGCGTTGGTGGCATGCAGGTCCCGTTGATGTTTTGTTGCTGCAGCTGTAGCTGCTGTTGTCTCTTGTTTCGTGAGGTCTACTTTCGAGAGAGCGGCAAAAACAAGCCACGGCCCGCCGAGCACAGGCAGTCCCAATACCGGGTAATGATGTCAAGTAGGGCAACGACGCCAAGTCACCACCCACCTACTGCATCTATACGTCTACACTACCCAACAGCAAGCCATGAAAAATCCAAGCTGGGGACTTAAAAATGCCTAAATCGCCCCTTCTGAGACCAATTGTTACGTTCACAGGACAAAAAACACAGCACCTGAGCAAACGTCCTGGCGACTACCGTGAGCATCATCACCCCAGCCTCTTGCAGCTCAAGCAGCTCGCTGTCATCAGTCGAAGCTGTAGCCGCAGCACACGCCAGCGTCACCAGGTCTTCAAGGTAGAGACACAGCAGGGCCGGGACTTGTGCCCAGTACGGCCGTTGCGGAACAGCCAGCGCCACGGACTCAGAGGAGGGACCAGCACCATCCTTGCCGTTGGACTCTGTCGGTAGCATTCTGGACAGAGCAATAAGCGGGAGGGGGGGTGAGTACGACGTGGTTGAGTCCGGCCATGCAAGTGTCATTTGATGCTTTGTACCAGACCTGCAAGATTTGGAGGTGTGCTGGGAACGTTCGGAGCAGAACTATCGGCAGTAGCGGCATCAGCAGCGGCAGCAGAACAGCACCAAACAGCACCAACATCACCAACATCATCAACAAAACATCAGCAACAATAGCATCGCACACGCACCTGACGGCACGGGTAACGACTCTGCGGGCTTTGTTGACGTCGAGACAACTGACTCTTTCGTCGGCAGCTTGAGATGAGCCGTTTTGGAGGGCTGACAGCACGTTCACACACCCGCGCACGGCCGTTCTTTTGACCTGATCAAGGATCAAGTTATCAAGGAGCCAAACAAGATAGATTTACGATTGATCGTGTCAGGTAGCACTCATCAACATCACATCAGAACCACCAATGCTTGTCGACCATTTCACGTGAATGTACCCAACACAGACTAGCTGTCCGCAAACAAGCAGCTCACAGCAGAGGAAGGGATCTCAGATGTGTAGAAAGAACTGATCCTTCGACACCATCGTGCCAAATAAGGTGAAACGAAATAGATGACCTAACACTGACCCATAACCTTGTAACCTTGATCAAACACGAGCAACAGGGCCTCGATACACCAGTCAGGGCGCCCCTATAACACCTGCCTGCCGATTTAATAATAAACAAAATGTTCTCCCGTGCTACCCTGCACATTACTTGGACACACTTCCAATACCCCGACAATCGCTTGTTTCTTCATATGTAATCCCATAAGGGTGCCATCGATAGCACACCCGACGAAACAACTACCCGACACCTTCCTTCTGCACCTTCCCAGCATAACATACAGATAGATGCACAAGACGGCAACTGTCCTGTTGAGCCTGCTACCCACAGGGAAGATGTCGCTGTGTGCTGCTCGGGAAACCGAGCAAATACAGGTAGCGTTCTCTGACGCTATGAATTAATCTATCTCAGACTATTTTCCTAGATAGACATGGATTCGTTGGGTCACAATTAGAAAAAAAAGAAACAATGTTTTGCAACACGACGGAGTCCTGGTTCTCGCTCTCCCGAAGCGGGTTGAGCGATGGATTTTGCCGTTCACCGTCACCGTTCCATACTGTACCGACTTGCGCGGTAATTGCCGTTAAAACCGTTGCCGTACCTGCCACCTCGAACTGGCGAGGGGGGAAGCAAACCTCGCGAGGCCGTTTCTCGCCCCCTGCACCACCTCCGACCAGCTGTTCCTGTTCGCCGCGTTGCTCCTCTTGCCGAAGCCGCTTCGACCGTCTTCCCCGTGCTCCTCCTCGTCCCCTCCGCCGCCGCCGCCCATTCCCGCAGCCGACGCGGGATGGCTTCCCCGTCGAGGGGAAAGCGGGTGCTGCACCTGTTGGCGTTGGGTGTGGTGCGAGTGTTAATCAGTAGCGCGGAACATAGATGTAAATTTTCAAAGATGACATCGGAAACCACCGAGCACGAACGATTGCATTTGTCGCCCCCGTATTCATGGATATGCCTTGATGGATCATGCAATTATGGGAGATCCTTGAAAATGCCGTTCCCACCAAGAGACACCAAGAGACACCAAGAGACAATACAAACATTCAAGGACACGGTGATACGGCGAGTTGGTCTGGACGTGACTGATCTGATTCGCTGCAAGTGTACGGTAAACTGGCGTATGAGTACGCCACACATGACAACCTACCCCCCACGAAATACCACCCACCCCGTGGCAACATTTCTGCGCGTCAACAATAGCCTGAAAAACAAAACTACTCTGAGGTCAAGAGACGAGACAGTTAGACGTAAGACACAACACACCCAGCAACGCACTTTACACAGCAACACGTCTGCGTTAAGTTTTCAGAAGCCCAGATACCGTCTGTCGCCAGGGTGCACTTTCTTGGCCGTACCACCACATGCACAACAATCTACGAAGGATCCCAGGCGTCCCGGATGACCTTGTACGGAAACGGTAGTACGGTACGGTACGGTACGGTACGGTACGGTACGGTACGGTATACTCACGTGTCCCGTCCCGACGACGAGAGCCTTGCCGAAGAGAAGCCAGTGGAGAGGACGGTAGCCATCTTGATCCACGGTCGCCACGGTGTCGATAGCCACTTCCAGCTAAACGTCACCGCGACACAGGAGGAAAACACTTGACGGTTAAAAACTCGAACAAAAAACAATCATATCACGTTGTCCATATTTCTTTCGCCATATCACCCGTACCGTCGCTCAGCACAATACAAGAAACGACGACCCACTTCGCTGTAACTAGAAACACACACGGAGGTGACGTCCTAGGCCTAACCAATTCGCGTCCAACAAAGCCAAGCCTACGGAACATCACCGCCGCCGTGCGAAAACCACAATGTGCATTGCATGTAGCGCATGTGCCTGACAGAAGATAACTGACTCTCTTGGTACTGAAAACGTGAAACTGATGTTGCGGTTTCAAGCTGCTGTCTTTCAAAGAAAAAAAGGCGAAGCGGCACCTGTCTGGCCGCTTCCACCCGGCCACCGAAGTGCTTCTCAACATCTCGGCTAACGACCACACCGCGCCATGTAGGAGCCCCCTCCCAAGTGAGAGACCCCAGCACACTCTCCAAGCAGCTGTACAGCTCCAGCTGCGATCAAGAGGACATGCATCAAGTGAGGGTGTCGTGTCGTTACAGGTGCGACAGCAAAGAAATTCTGCACGAAAACGCTTCCTTCTATCACAGCGCGCCAGTTAGACCACGCGATTGGTGGTTGCTTGCTGATGGGGGTGGAAAACGGAGAAGCGTTCACGTTCGCGGCAAGCACTTTTCTCCCTTTGTAGGTCAGGACACGTCGTGCCCTCGAAAACAGCTGCAAGAAGCGCAAGTAGCCTCCATGAACGAACGAGGAACCTCAACGGAAATCCGTTCGACGTACCTATCTCAACCCTAACCATACCCCTAGCCGGGGCTCCGAGGCTCCCACAATAAACACGTTTCCGACACGTTTCTGACACGGAAACGTGACCGCGAGGCACGGACAGCATCAACAGAAATCGATGGAAGCATGTTTATTGTAGATATTCGCGTGGCTTGATTTCAGGCTCAACACCAAAAGGGGGCGGCCGTCTCTGTCTTTTCCTGCAACACCCGCTATCAGCGAATCCTTTGTTGCCACGTGGCACAGCTCAGGTGGAAAAACAAACAAACAAAAAAACTGTTGCTTTCAAGTACTTCGAATAAAATAGTTCAAAGAGAAAATGTAACACTTGCCTCAGGTCGGTAGCTCTCCACCGCCCCCGCCGTCCTAGCCGCGATGAGCTTGACGCACATCGCTGCACGCGACAAGCACTCCGGGGAGGTGCCCCCGACACCACCGCCAAGAACCCCCTTTCAACAACGCGAGAGCACGTCGAATTGCGTGTTGGGGCTAAATTGATCGTATCTGTGGTGGTGTTTACTATTGTCGATGTTGCCATCGACCGTGCTTCTCTCATCTGCTCTAGCAGCAACGTTCTCGTAGTCCGCCAGCTTGCAAGGCACGGCAGTTGCAAGGCACAGGAGGGCTGCCTCTTCGACAACAACAGCTAAGTTTGTCGGAAACGGAATAAACTGACTTTCGTTGCAACCAAGTTTTTGGGCACCAAAGGAGAGCACACGTGCACCGGTTGTCGTAGGTCGTAGCGCATCTTCAGCACATTTCGGTCAACTGTATGTAGCTTTAGGGTTATGCTACGGATTAGTAACTCAGGAACTACGTGCAGCAAGTGTTCCGGCCGCATCGGATTCTTTGGTTCTACCCACCAAAAGCATGCTCCGGACAACGGCCAAATCTCGCAACAATATGGAAAGCAAAGGCATGATTCCAAGTACGACACATAAGATCTACGGCACCTCGGTTCTGCACGACATGCCACCATCTTTTCATACTTAGGCGAATCTACTTACGTCTGCCGACAATGTACACGGAAGCGGCTACCGACTCCTTACGCGGTCTCCATCCGAATCGCCTTCCGCGCTGCCGACAAGAGAGGCGCCGTGAAGGCCGCCACATCAAAGCAAGGACGAGCTTTCAAGAGACATCATCATAATCACGGATCTAATTCAAACCGCACACCTACGGCACGTGCAAGATCTGTGGCAAACTAGGTTGTTCCCGGTTTCCAAGTATCACCTGTACGAAGGGCATGATCTCCGGCAACGCGTCTGGAATATCGCCCGGGGCGAACATGGCCAGCAGCTCCACAACCTCCAGACACCTGGACCATCAGTCAGTCAACATGTACCATCAGTCAACATGCAACGTCAGTCAACATGCACCGTCAGTCAACATGCACCGTCAACATGCAACGTCAACATGCAACGTCAGTCAACATGCACCATCAGTCAACATGCAACGTCAACATGCAACGTCAGTCAACATGCACCATCAGTCAACATGCAACGTCAGTCAACATGCAACGTCAGTCAACATGCAACGTCAACATGCAACGTCAACATCATGGTACAAAGCCGAATAACCAGAAAAACAGAAACAGCGGGGGGCAGACTGCAGAAGCAAAGAAACCAAGTCAGCAGCAACAAACGGATGACACCAAGAAGCACTAGAAGCATACCGTATATGACACAGGATACCATACCCCCTGGACCGAGTGTTTTTCGAAGCGCGATTTCTCCACGACGACGAGGATGCCAAAATAATCGAATAATGCGTTTCGGAAAGCTCTCGACGAGACGGTTCCAACGCCGCCATGTTCAGCACGGCCAGTGTTTATAGCTGCAGAGATATCGAGAGCTGAAAGTCTGTCCGTGGTGCGTGTCATCTTGCATCATGCAACAATGCGGAACACTTGTAGCGGCTAGTGCAGCAAGGCCAACGACTCTGCACAAGAACAACCACGGCCCTCGCCGACAGTAGTTACACGCACGACGCCGGCAGGAAGAAGGTAACGAATCAATGCCCCGAGCAGCTT